CTTGAGCCAAGGAATGCCAGGGCTACGAGCAACTGGAATAGGCAAGCAGGTTCTTACCTTAGAAGCTTCAGATGAACATGACCCAGGCAAACCTCACTTTCAGACTTCTGGCCTCCAAGGTAGGCTAGGAAGCAACAGTTTCTGTGCTTAAAGTGATGTGAGTTTTGGTTGTGGCAGACTTATAAAATCAGTGCAGTGTCCAGTATGATCCAGTCCTTTGTGCCCAGAGGACCAGGCATTTATTTATTCATTCTCTCTCTCTCTCTCTCTCTCTCTCTCTCTCTCTCTCTCTCTCTCTCTCTCTCTCTCTCTGTCTCTCTCTCCTCTCTTCTCTCTTTCTGAGATGGGGTTTCTCTGTAGCTTTGGAGCCTGCCCTGGAACTCGCTCCGTAGACCAGGCTGGCCTTGAACTCACAGAGATCCTCCTGCCTTTGCCTCCCGAGTGCTGGAATTAAAGGCATGCACCACTATCCCTGGGTCAGGACCAGGTCTTAGAGTACAATTGCAACACTTCAGGACTCACCCGTGGAAAGAGGAATCACAGTGTGTGGGGCAGATACCCTGAAATGCTATCCATCTAGTCTTCTAGACCTGGGACAAATGCAGTCTCTCCACTCTCCTCTTTCTTCTTTTCTGGTTTCCCTTTAAACTATTTAGTTCTTTTACCTTCTGGAATGTACTGTGCTGTGTGGTATAAGATACAAATCAGGGGCTGGAGAGATGGCTCAGTGGTTAAGACTACTGATTGCTCTTCCAGGGGACCAGGGTTCAATTCCCAGCACCCACATAGCAGTTCACAACTGTCTATAATTCCAGTTCCAGGGGACCCAACACCCATGGCAAAACACCAATGCACATAAAATAAATTTTAAAAATGTAAGTTGTTTGTCTTCCATACTGCAATCCATTTATCTAATGGATTTAGATTAATGGACTTTTTTTTTTTTTTTTTTTTTGGTTTTTCGAGACAGGGTTTCTCTGTGGCTTTGGAGGCTGTCCTGGAACTAGCTCTTGTAGACCAGGATGGTCTCAAACTCACAAAGATCCGCCTGTCTCTGCCTCCCAAGTGCTGGGATTAAAGGCGTGCGCCACCAACGCCCGGCCATCTAATGACTTTTATTAGTGTTTCTCTGTCTAATGACTTCTATTAGTGCTCCTCTGTCTAATGACTTCTGTTAGTGCTCCTCTGTCTAATGACTTGTTAGTGCTCCTCTGTCTAATGACTTCTGTTAGTGCTCCTCTAATGACTTCTGTTAGTGCTCCTCCTATTGCCATGTTACATTTCCTGTATTAAATGGATCGTTGATGTTGGAAAATTATTTTTGTGATCTCTAGGCTCTGTTCCTCGAGTTGGCTCCTGTCACGGAATGATAAATCTCTGTAGGTTTGCAGGTTTTTTTTGGAGGGTGGGTTGGGGTGGAGTGAGGGGTTGATCCTAGGATTTCATGACTGCTGCCAAGAGCTCTACCCCTGAGCTACATCCTCCAGCAACTCTTCAAGCTCCCCCTTGTTTTATGCCTTGTCCAAATGCTTTATCTATAGCAACCTAAAATATTCACTTCCTATAAGCATACTCTGGAGAGAATGGGTGTGTTTATAAAAAGGTTCTGAGTTTTTTAAAAGCACACTAGATCTTCTGGTGGAAGCAGCTGGGCTGCACCCCTCCCCTTTTCCTTTGTGAAAGTCGGTTATGTTGCTCAGGCTAGTCTTGAACTCCTGGCTTCTTGACTAGCTGAGGCTCCAGCCTGTTCATCTTTTTGAGACCGACCCTGGTCCTATTCACACATCTGGCTTTATGACGAGTTAAAATATAAGGAAGCCTGCATACCCACCTTCATAGTTAAGTGTGTACACACAGGAAGCATTCAGTCCATGTCGGGTGATAGTTAGAGATGACCAGAGAATTCCTACCTCATTCTTGCCAGCAGCCAACTCTGTTCATCCTCTGCCTCATAAGACTAGAAAAGGGATTTACGACAGACTAAACAATGGCCAACCCCAACATGTCTGTCTGAAGGCCAACAGTGTTGATATATCACACTCTACATGGTGAAGGGGACTTTGGAGATGTGGTTGAATTAAGGATTTTAACTTCTTTACATTTGTTACCTTACTTTTTTATTTTATGTACTTCACTCATCTTTGGGTTCTTTTAATTTTTTTATTATTTTTTATTTTCCAGTTTAAATTTAGATAAGAAACAAGGTTGCTTCACAAGGCAGTTCCAGGTCCCTCTCCCTTTCCCTCCCCTCCTCCTGTGCCCTCCCCCAACCCCTCCCCCTTATCCCCTCATTCCCCCAGAGAGGGTGAGGCCCTCCATGGGGGTGTCCATAGTCTGTCATTTCATATAGGGCAGGGCCTAGACCCTTCCCCAAGAGTTCAGGATGAGAGTGCACCTCACATTGTTCTATGGGAGTCCAAAGTCCGTGTGTATACTTGGGATGGGTACTGATCTGCTGCCCAAGGCTCAATAGATTACCTAGGCCTCCTCACTGACACCCAGATTCAGGGGGTCTTGATCAGTCCCATGCTGGATTCCCAGGCTGATGCCTGGGGGGTTCTTTTAATTTTTACTTTAAAAAGTGATTTATTTTAGTCGGGCATTGGTGGCACATGCCTTTCATCCCAGCACTCGGGAGGCTGAGGCAGGCAGATTTCTGTAAATTCCAGGCCAGCCTGGTCTACAGAGCAAGTGCCAGGATAGGCTCTAAAGTTACATAAAGAAACCCTGAATTAAAAAAAAAAGGGAGCCGGGCGTTGGTGGCGCACGCCTTTAATCCCAGCACTCGGGAGGCAGAGGCAGGCAGATCTCTGTGAGTTCGAGACCAGCCTGGACTACCAAGCAAGTTCCAGGACAGCCTCCAAAGCCACAGAGAAACCCTGTCTCAAAAAACCAAAAAAGAAAAGGATTTATTTTATTTTATATGTGTTGGTGTTTTGCTAGCTACATGTCTGTGTGAGGGTTTGGATCCCCTGGAACCAGAGTTACAGACAGTTGTGAGCTGCCAGGTGGGTGCTGGGAATTGAACCTGGATCCCTTGGAAGAGCAGCCAGTGCTCATAACCATTGAGCCATTTCTCCAGCCCCTACTTTTTTTGTTTGTTTTTTTTTCAAGACAGGGTTTCTCTGTATTGTTTTGGAGGCTGTCCTGGTCTGGAACTCACAGAGATCCACCTGCCTCTGCCTCCCGAGTGCTGGGATTAAAGGCGTGCGCCATCAACATCTGACGATGTCTTTTTTTTTTCTAATTTTTACTTTTTATTTGATTAGCTGTTCCAATACACTAATGTTAAGCCCTCCTGATTTACTTAAATTGCTAGCAAATATGTAGAAATTTAACTGAAGAGAGAAAGAAAAGAAAGGAAGCAAGGAAGAAAGAAGAAAGAAAGTAATCCATGTTGAGCAGGGCGTTGGTGGCACACGTTCTTAGTCCCAGCACTCTGGGGGAAGAGGCAGGTGGATCTCTGAGTTCCAGGCCAGCTTGGTCCAGAGCTGTTGTACTGAGAAGCCCTCTCTCATGAACAAAACAAAAGTTGTTTAATCAAGGGGACATTTTCTCTCCTGGCAAAGGGGTGCACTCAGGGGTGAGGTCATGAGGGCACAAATTTGAACTTAGCCAGAATCATTGAACTGTGTTTCTGAACATTTTTTTTCACTGAGTCTTTCTTTCTTTCTTTCTTTCTTTCTTTCTTTCTTTCTTTCTTTCTTTCTTTCTTTCTTTCTTTCTTTCTTTTTCTTGACAAGGTTTTTCTGTGTAGCTTTGGATTCTGTCCTGGAACTCACTCTGTAGACCAGTCTGGCCTCGAACTCACAGAGATCCGCCTGTCCCTGCCTCCTAAGTGCTGGGATTAAAAGCGTGTGCCACCAATGCCAGACTATTCACTGAGTTTTAAAGTCTGGGGGGCACTGGCAGAAATTGGAGATCCCTAATCCAAGTGGAACCCACCGCCGGTGAACTACTGGGGAAACACACCACCTGAACCCTTAGCTCAAGAGTCATTCTCTGGGTCCTTGTCGTTGAAAGAAGAAAAAGATTAAAATGCATGTTTTAGGCACTACTAGAGAATGACACCTTACCATGAAAATGTACTTTTTTTTCACTCTTCTCCCTCGGAATAAAAGGCCACTGCTCGTAATCTTATAAACTTCTTTCCGTTGTTTTGAGTTGGGCACTAAACATTGGCCTAGGCCCCAGGCGCCTGTTGGAAAGGCGGCCTCGCAGGAGCAGAAGGCTGGCAGAGGATAGGGCGGGGTGGGGGGTGGAGGGGTGGGTGTGGGGGGAGTGGGGGGTTGTAGGGAGGCACCCCCCACGCTTTTGTTTTCTAGAACCTGAGGGATTCTCTTCAAGTCTCCTGGACCAGGACAAATACCGCCCCCCCACGACCTCCATCCAAGGTCCTGGCTGCAGGGATGGGGACGCCCTCCTAGGTCCCCAAGTCACGGGTGTAGGGACCACCCACGTAGCAGAGCCGCCCCGCCCCGCGCCCCGCCCTCGCAAGCTGCTCCAGGCTGAGGAAGCCCCACACACTGCCGAGGGCTCGCTGAATCCTCCCTAATGCTGGCTGGGCGTCAGTACCCTGCTCCTCCAGATAAAGACGGAGGAGCCTTAAGCTCCTTCCGCTCCGATGCTCTGATGTACACTGTTCTCTCCGAACTCCCTACCCCATCCTAAATAAATTTCAGCCCACTGTCATTTAAGAGAAAGCAAACCAAACCAAACCAAACCAAAACAAAAAACAAACAAAACAAACAAACAAACAAACAAAAAAACCCTGGGGATTTGGGATAAAGTAACACCGTTTCTTTAGATCTGCACCTGAAATCACTCTACCCAGTTTAGACCCGAGAGTGCGACCCTAATGTAGATGGAACAAGAGGGGGAGGGGGAGGGGCACTGCAGCTTAGGGGTCTCGAGTCTCCTCCGGGAGGCAGGGAGGGCCCACAGTCCGGTCCCTTCTCTCCTAGTTGCCTGAATGGAAAATAAATGTAGGACAGCTTAGCCCAGGTCAACAAACTTTTATTGCCATTTCTGCCAGATTCCTGCTTCTTACACTGTAGAAACACTGAGTTCTGGTGCAGGGGGATGAGGGTGGAGGGTGTTGCTGTTCCTCTGCCAAGTTCAAGGAAACCCACTTGCTGGCGAGGGAGGGCCAGACAGCGAGGAATTCGAGGGCTTGTATGGCTTAGGCCGGCTTCTGCCGATTGCAGACTACAGGGACCATGGTTCCAGACTTTTTTGCGAAAGGGGTGGGGATGAATTTGGCTGCTGTTGTACCCCTTGCCCTCGCTGCCATGTTTCCATGGAAACGAAGGAGGGGCAGGATGTAGCTGACTCTGAGTACCTGGGAGGGTGGCAAGGCAGGCATTTGGTAAACATATCCCCTTCCACTCCTACCCCCATATACAGAGCTGTCCCCATCCAACCCCCAGGCTCCACTCCCTTCCCCTCTGGAGCTGGGACTATGCCAACTGGACTCCGGGCAGGGCTGCTAGCGCCCACGCTCCACAGCCAGGTCCCCCTGGCAGCAAACTCTGAGTATGTCCACCTAGCTCAGAAGCAGCCCTAACAGCTGTCTGTTGTGCCTCGGTGAAGGGACGCAGCTTACGCTGCTGCTTCCCACACGCCTCCGCCCAAACAAGACTTAAAACGTAAACTCCAATGTTCAAGGTCAGAAACAGGACAAAGGAATTCTCTAACAATGCCGGGGCTAGGATGGGGGCTATGAGGCACGTCCTTGTCCTTCGAGACCTGAGCCGCCACCCTGCGGCCTGTCTTCTGGAGTTGGCGTCTTCTTCCCACTGGGCCCTCCTTGCTGGGGGCTGAAATCCAAATCGCACAGGGTACGGCTCTCAGCGCCCTCTGCTGGTGGTCCAGGAGGCTTGCCCGTCAGCATGGTCAGGCGGCCCAGGAATGCTTCTCAGTACCACGGGTCAGCCCGGTGCTGCTGGTTGTAGAGCTGTAGTTTGATCTGATCTTTTATTTGATTCACGAGGACCTGGGACAGCAGGATCCCCACCAGCTGCCAGGGGCAGAGAGGAATTAGCCCACAGCAGGGAGTGATTGTCCGACTTTCCCTTGTCCCCTGCTCTGTCTTCCCAACACAGCAAGCACCCCACTCCATCCCACTCAGCAGTTGATCCCGGGATGCCTCCACAAAGGACAGTCTGCAGAGTGGGCGAGACCTTCCAGCTGGACGGGGTAAGTTACCTGGGGGATGGCCAGGCCTAGAGCCACGCCGCCGAGCAGGAACAGGTTGCTGTGTATCCAGTTGACTAACTTGTCAATACAGCCGTTGGTGTAGATGACTTTACTGGCTTCCAAGTAGTCAAGAGCCTGCATATTTTGGCCACACATAGTGTTGATCACTGCCTGAGGAGGAGAAAATTGAGAAGCCAAATGGCACTCCCCCACCAAGAAACACGAGCTGACAAACTTGCCAACTTTAGAGAGTGTCTTCGGAGAATACTGGAGTAAAAATGGCGAACTGCAGAACGCCTTGCTTTGGACTCTGAGTCCGGTGCTCCTCTGGAGAACTGTCCCTCGAGTCCCGTGCGGGCCGTGGGGTTGAAAGGCCAGTGTGGGCCCACTGTGTGGTGAACACGCGCACACCTGCCAGCCACCCTGCACACCAGCTGGCTAAGCGAGGGGATGGGGTGTCGCCGGAACAGCTTCGTTACCCAGGAGGAAGTGGAGGAGGGCGTTTGCTCACCTGATTGGGGGTGGGCAGGCAACAGGAGTAAGGCACAGAGCAACGCTCGCGGCTAGGGTTGTCGTCCGAGCAGTTGAAGTACATATTCTGAGACCAGTCTCTGTAGGAAATCCCTCCACAGCAGCTGAACTGCAACAGAGTGCACCGGGCAGACTGAGAATCAGATTCCCCACACCAAGGTGGCCTGGGGGACTTACCAAGCCTAAGGCAAGCCTCCATTTGTAACGTCAAGGTATTCTAAACACATCTATGAACTCAAGCGTCTCAGCTGCTTTCACCTGACGAAATTCTCCTTTTAATTCTTTATGTATCTTATTATAACTTACTTAGTGCTTGGTACTCCAACTGCAAGCATCACACACATGCATGCACAAACACACACACACAATGGTACATACTATTCAGGTGTAACCTCTTGAGAGAAGGTTCTGGATTTACAATCCTAAAAAACATAGGCTGACAAAAGATGTTCAAAATCACTGGCTAGGGCTGGAGGTGTTCAGTGACAGAGCATACGCTTAGACTGTGTGATCCCTGGATTCACTTCAGCACTGCCAAGAAAAAAAATCTTAAAAAATCCAAACCAAAAACCTTGACATAAGAAAAAAAAATCCAAGAATAGACTCTTCAATATATGAGTCCACAATTACTCCAGGAAAGCAAACTGAATCCTAAAGTCAAAGGCCTGATGGTCAGAGGAAGAGACTCTCAGCACCGGCATTAAAAAACACCTCCATTCAAATTTAACATTGATTCATAACCCAGAATAGCCAAAGGTGGAAGCGACTCAAGTGTCCACTCATGGTGAGCAAAACAAGGCAGGCATTCAAAAAAAAAAAAAAAAAAAAAAAGGAAATTCTGGTATATCCTACAATACAGATGAAGCATGAAGACATGCCAAGTGAAAAAACCAGTAACAAAAGTATATGTATTATATAATTCCATTTATATGACGTCCCCAAAGTAGCCATATTAGAAGCAACAAAGAAAGTTGAATGGTGGTCATGAGAGCAAAATAGAAAATATTTAATGGGCACAGTGGCACAGTTCAGTAGGGAAAGATAAAATGGCTTTAGTTTTTAGTGCATATGTGAAGGCCAGATGACAGCTTTGGGACTTAGTTCTTTTCCTTCCACTGAAGATCCCTAGAATCAAACCCAGGCTGTCTGTCAGGCTTTTACAGAAAGCACTCTCACCGCTGGCCATCTCCCTACCCTTGAAAAGAGTTTTTCTTTTGTTTTGTTGTTGAGATGGGGGCTCCTGTAGCCAGGCTGGTCTGGAAGTTAGGATGTAGCCAAGTCTGGCTTTGAACGCCCAATCTTCCGGCTTCCATTTCCCTAGCACAAGGGATGGTGTGCACCGCCTTACAGACAAAGACGGAAAAGTTCTGCTAAAAAATGGTGATGATGGCTACATACAAAGAGATTTTTTTCCTCCCACACCGGGGATTAAACTAGGACCTCATACATACCAGACAGGTACTCTACCACTGAACTATAACCCCAGGGTCTCACAAGTTACTCAGGCTGTCCTTGAACTCACTCTATAGCTAGGTAAGGTCTTGAGCTCTTGATCCTTCTGTTTTAGCCATCCAAGTAGGGAGGATTACAAATTGTGTCAACACATCCAGCTAATGTAAATATTTTTAAACCTAAAATGGTAAATTCTGGGTTGTGGGTACAGCCCAGTGTTATAGTATTTGCCCATGATGTTCAAGGCTCTGAGTTCTATTCCTAGTTTCACAAAAACAAGAAAAACAATTCAAAATGGTATTTTTTGTTATACATATTTGGCCACATTTTTTTTAAAGATTCATTTATTTATTATGTATACAGTATTCTGTCTGCATGTATGCTTCCAGGCCAGCAGAGGGCACCAGATCTCATGATAGATTGTTGTGAGCCACCATGTGGTTGCTGGGAATTGAACTTAGGACCTCTGGAAGAGCAGTCAGTGCTCTTAACCTCTGAGTCATCTCTCCAGCCCCAAATATTTATTTATTTATATGTATATACTGTTCTTTCTGCAAGTACATCTGCATGCCAGCAGGGGGCGCCAGATCTCATGATGGATAGTTGTGAGCCACCATGTGGTTGCTGGGAATTGAACTCAGGACCTCTGGAAGAACAGCCAGTGCTCTTAACCTCTGAGCCATCTCTCCAGCCCCTTGGTCACAATTTTTAACATAATAGATAATAAAATATGATAGTTCCTCATTCCCCTACAGGTAACCCCTTACAATGGTTTCTTAAAAATTCTTCCAGAGTCCTTTTGTAAATGAGACGACAGAGTCTCCCCTTCTCTTTTCTTTGTATAAGCAGTAGATTATGAATACTGTATGTGCCATTCTATACCCTTACCAGCACCGGTTTCTCCCACAAAGCCCTTCCCAGAATATATTACTTAGCAAGTAAAAGAGTCCACAGGCCTACAGAGTGAGGCATTTCTTGGGCAACCTTAACTTTTAACCTCTAACCCCCCAGGACACTGGGTGACCACACTATGCTTGGCTGGTACCTTCTTCTGGCCAAAGTCAATGAGGTTCTGCAGGTCCAGGTCATCCCGATAATGCACAATTGCGTTGTTGATTAATTCGCTCACTTTCCCCCGAGCCTGCCAGATACACAGTGAGGCAATCAGGACACAAGATTAATCCATAATTTATTAATTCCCTCAGAAATAACAGCAAACACAGGTCACCATTTGTAGTGGTTTGACTCTGTCCCCCACCGTCTCAGATGTTTCCATACTTATCCCTAGTTGGTGGCACTGTTTTGGGAGATGCATGTGGTGTGGCTTTGTTGAAGGAAGTGTATCACTGGGAGTGGGCTTTGAGGTTTAAAAGCCTTGCTGTACCATTCCCAGAGCGCTCTCTGCTTGTGATTGAGATGTAAGTCGCATCGTCTTACTCGCTCGCAGCCATGCCTCGCCTGCCATAACAGCCTCCCATCCCTCTGGATCTGTGAGCCCCAATAAGCCCTCCCCTAAACTGCCTTGGCCGTGGTGTCTTATCACAGCAACAGGAAAGCAACGACTACACTATTGTTCAGTCTTTTTCTCTCCAGAGCTCCCTATGTTTCATGGCCACAGCATGTATGTAGGGCACCTGCCATACACACCACAGCGCGGTCAGAGGCCCAGGTCGCTCTCCCACTCTCCTGCCCCGCCCCAGCAGATCAGCACAGGCCTGGTGCTCTCCCATCCCACTCTGGGAATGTGCTGACAGCCACTTTAAGTTAGCGCAGCCAAACGGCCCTGCCTAAGTACCAGCTCCCATTTTTCCAGCAAACCTATTCACTGCCACCATCTCGCACTCTGGCCTCCTTTTTCACACACTGGGTGCTTCTATACATCTGTGGGCCGTTAACTCACCACGAGCCTCCTTTTGTCGCAAATGCATTTTGTGCTTTACCAGTCAAAGTCCTTAAGTTTAATGAGAAGTCCTGTGCGCTTTGGTGACTAAGACAACACTAAGCCTCCAATCCTTGCTCATGACGGGATAAAAAGGGACAGTCTGGTTGCTAGAGAGATGAAATTCATGTTCTTTCCTCCTTAACAACAAAATGACAAAGAATCCTAGGCAACTAAAAGGTATCAGTGACTAGGCAGTCACTAATTTCCAAGAGCTGGGGGGAAATCGCACTCCAAAGTTCAAAATTAGAGCAGCTACCAAAGGTCACGGCCATATCCCCTCAGATCATCTCTAATCTGAACCGGCCTTGCAGTCCTACCTACCAAGGAAAGACAGCTGGTCGGTGCGAGACCCATCCATTCTGGGGCTCAGGGAACAGTGGGCAAGAGAAACATTGATCCTGATGCTGTTGCTTCTCAGAACTATCTTTTTTTTTTTTTTTTTTTTTTTTTTTTTTTGGTTTTACGAGACAGGGTTTCTCTGTATTGTTTTGGAGGCTGTCGGTCCAGCCTAGCCTTGAACTCACAGAGATCCACCTGCCTCTGCCTCCCAAGTGCTGGGATTAAAGGCGTGCGCTGCCACCACCGGGCAGAACTATCTTTCAAAACAATGCAGTGTTTATCTACCTCAGCATATCAGCACCTCAAAATACTTATTGACTCGTTTAGTGAAGAATCAAAGCTTGTTTTTATTTTAGAAGAAAAGGGCTTACTGAGTGGAGACACTGACCCCTAGTGGACACAAGAAAATTGCATCTCCTTAGACTTGCTTTATTAAGCCAGAAGGACTTGTCAACTTCAAATCAGCTCAGCGATGCTCAGTTTCATAATTTTGTACCATGGTCTCTTTCCACTCAGCCACTTTTCCTATGGCTTTTGTGTGTTTGTGTGTTTGTTTCTTGAAACAGGGTTTCTCTGTGTAGTCCTGGATATCCTAGAACTCATTATGTACATTGGGAATGTAGATTGGACGGGGACTCAGAGATCCCCCTGTCTGTAGAGCACTGAGGTTAAAGGAGCCACCACACCTGGCTTCTGTTCCTATGACTTTATTTCATAGTCTTGTACTTCATTCCCAGTAACTATTTGTCATTTGAGAATGGAATTCTGGTTCATTTCCTACCCTACCCGACCCCATTTGTTTCTGAGACAGGGTCTTGTTAGATAGCTCGGGCTGTCCAGGAACTCACTATGCAGACCAGGCTGTCCTCAAACTCACAGAGATCCACCTGCCTCTGCCTCCAGAGTGCTGGGACTAAAGGTGTGCTCCACCAGGCCTGGCTACATTTTTCTTCCTTTATTTTAAAAGACCGATGTCTTACTATGCAGCCCCAGCTAGCCTAGAACTCACTATACAGGCAGTACTGGTCTCAAACTCATGGAGATCCCCTTGCCTCTGGCTTCCCAGTGCTGGGGTTAAAGGAAAGGCTGGCTCTCAGTCAGGACTGCTGCCTCATGGCTGCCCACCTCCAGATGTGGGGATGGGGTTCAGAACAGGGTCAGCCTTCCCTCTGCTTCCACACCTACTTCGGCAGTTTTAAAATAAGTCTCTTCAAGTCGTCTATGGTCTTCATCACCGAGTTCTACCTAGTCACCTACCATTCAAGTTTGCAGGTTTTTTTGTTTTTTTTTTTTGTTTTTTACGAGACAGGGTTTCTTTCTCTGTATTGTTTCGGAGGCTGTCGGTCCAGCCCGGCCTCGAACTCACAGAGATCCGCCTGCCTCTGCCTCCCGAGTGCTGGGATTAAAGGCGTGTGCCACCACCGCCAGGCATCAAGTTTGCAGTTATTTTAATGTTCCTGTTGCTTACAGAATTCTCTTCCCTTATAGCATCTCGGGTGTCAAAGGGAAACACTTACAGCCGTGAAGGTATCTTTAAACAGGCTGCTGTTAGGGCCTTTTCTTCATCCCTAAGGGAACGTTTCAAAGGCCGGTGCTTCCCAGGGGAAAGAGTGCTGTGGTTAATTAGTCAGGAGTGGGAACTTCCCCTTCCTCCCTCCGGTACTGAAGAGGCCTCTGGGCTCCCATGTTACCTTGTCTGAGAAGACGAAGCCCAGGATGCCAGCAGCCAGCTGCAGCAGGAACACGATGGTGAGGCAGAGGGAGAACTGTGACACACAGGAAGGCAAGGAGACAGTCGTCACTGCCCAGGGGAACGGCCCTTCCCAGGGCCGAGGGGAGCACCGAGAGGCAGCTAGGCTCCTCTCCAAACATTCCCAACATAGCAGAAACTACTGCCTCTAGGACAGGGGTGTGGGATGGGACGGGACAGAATGGAGTGTCTGTATGTGGCACAGGGGTCCGGGAGGCACCAGGAGGAGGACAGCAAGGCCTGCTGAGGAGCCTTCGTCACTCACCGTCTGCAGGAGGCAGATGTTCTCTCGAAGGGATCCGATGCAGCCGCAGAAGGTGAGGAGGAACATGAGGACGCCCACTACGATCAGCAGGATGGCAGGGTCCACCGCCAGACAAGCCAAGGCTGCTTCTGGGAGAGAGGTTGACCCTCAGCCGGAGCCCAGTGCCCTCTGAGGGAGCTCCAGGAACGGATGGGGGGTGTGCTCAAACTGTTCTTCCTGTACTAGGGGAGTCTCCCTGCCTACAAGACGTTCCTCACGGGGAGGAACAGAAAGTGGCCGGAGGAGTCCTGGCATGCAACAGGAGGGACTGGGGGAAAGCCTTTGCTCCAGGCTCATGAGAAGGGGGGCCACCGCTCAGAGATGAAGCAGAATGACAGTGGGCTCACTAGCTGGGTGGCTTCCTAGAGACTGCGGAGGAATTCAGCCTGAGTTACTTAGGGGTTACTGGCTAGGGAGGGCAGAGTCCTTGACTGCTGTTTGCTTCCACAGACCCAGCCTCTCTCCAGAACCTAGTCTCAAACATAGGCAGATCTTGGGAGGGGGGCGGGGGCTCAGGAAAGCCCAAGTGAACTGCCAGTCTGAAGTGACCCAGTAAGACCGGATTCAGGGAGCTGCTTCTGTAACCTCAGCCCAGGGCTGGGTAGAAGCAAGCAGGGGCACAGGGAGGGTGTGGGAGGCAGAGGGGGACCATAACCCACCTGCATGCTTCATCAGCCTGGCATAGACGCCCACAGCCACCATGACCATGGAAATGACCTGTGGGAACAGTCAAGGAGTCAGACTGAGATTTCTGAAGGTGAGAGAGCTCTGGACACAATGAAAAACTTTGGAGGGCAGGGGAGGACGGCTTTCCGGGGTTCCAGGTGCAATGTCTTACCACCCCCAGTGACAATGCAAATGCTGTTAACCCTAACCTAACCCCAACCTTCATGAGAAACCCCCCAGTATTGTCTCCTTCATTCTCTTTAACACAATTATCTTGTGAGACAGATAATGTCCCCATTTCACAGATGGAAAGATTAAGATAGTACAAGTTTAATATACAACAGAACAGTGGTTAAAAATACAAGCTTCCAGCCAGGCATTGGTAGCACACACCTTTAATCTCAGCACTTGAGACGCAGAGGCAGGTGATCTCAGTGAGTTGGATGACAGCCTGGTCTACAAAGGGAGTTCCAGGACAGCCAGAGCTACACAGAGAAACCCTGTCTCAGAAGAGGGGGACACGACAAACAAAGCAAACCCCGCAAGCTTCCAGACAGGTTTGAGAGTATAACCCAGTGCTACGGTACAAGGCCTGGGTTCATCCACAAGCACCAAAAGTACACACACACACACACACTCACACACACTCACACACACCACACACACTCACACACACTCACAACACACCACACACACTCACACACACTCACACACACCACACACACTCACACCACACACACTCACACACACTCACACACACTCACACACACACTCACACACACTCACAACACACCACACACACCACACACACTCACACACTCACACTCACACACACACTCACACACACTCACACTCACACACACACACACTCACACACACACACACACACACTCACACACACACCACACACTCACACACTCACACTCACAACACACCACACACACACTCACACACACACCACACACACACTCACACACACACTCACACACACACACACACACTCACACACACACTCACACACACACGCACACACACTCACACGCACTCACACGCACACTCACTCACACACCACACACACACACACACTCACACGCACACTCACTCACACACCACACACACACACTCACACACTCACACACACTCACACACACTCACACACTCACTCACACACCACACACACTCACACTCACACACACACTCACACACACACGCACACACTCACACACACACTCACACACTCACACACACCACACACTCACACACACTCACACACACACTCACACACACACGCACACACTCACACACACACTCACTCACACACACATACACTCACACGCACACACACACCCACACACACACACACACACACACTCACACACACACCACACACACACTCACACACCACACACACACTCACACACACACACTCACACACACCACACACACCACACACACTCACACACCACACACACACTCACACACACACTCACACACACACCACACACACCACACACACACTCACACACACTCACACACACTCACACACACTCACACACATACTCACACACACTCACACACACCACACACACACTCACACACTCACACACACTCACACACACTCACACACACTCACACACACTCACACACACACACCACACACACACACACACACACACACACACACACTTAAAACAAAGCATGGCCTTCTGAGAGATTCAGATATTTAACCCTATTTAGGACACATTTCTGAGTCTCAGCTAATTTCTGAATGTGAAGCTGGAATTAAGGAAAAAGAGCCAGGCTTCTGACAGTTAATCTCAGCACTTAGGAGGTTGAAATGGGGGAATCAAGAGTTCAAGGCTAGCCTATGCTACAGTGCAAGAGCCTGCCTCAAAGGGAAAAAATATTTGATTTTTATTTGCACCTGTGCATGTGTCTGTGTAGGTGCACACTGAAGCCAGAAGAGGGCAGAGGAGATCCTTGGATCCTTGGTGCTAGAATTACAGGTGTTTGTAAAATGCTTAGTGCGAGTGTTGGAATCTAAACTCTGGTGGTCCTGAGTTACAGCAATAGGCATTCCTAACCACTGAGCCATCTTGCCATGGAAATTCCTGCCCAGTTCTGCAGCCACCTTGCCCCAAATGAACACACAGATGCTATTTTAATTGTGATATTGTTGGTTGGTGACTAGGGCTTCCTATTGGCTAGCTCTGTCTTAATTATTAATCTATAACTACTAATGTACTTATTTCATGTGGTCTTGGCTTACCGGAGGATGCTGGACCTGCAACTCCTTTGCCTTCTGTGTTGAGACTGTTCTGGTGGGTTCTCCTGCCTACCTTTCCCTGACTTCTCCTCTCCTAGTCCCGCCTATCTTCCTGCCTCATTGGCCCAACAGTGTTTCATTCATCAACCAATAAGAGATACACATACAGAAGGACATGCCCATCACCATCTCTCCATCCAAAACTTTAAAAATGTACACTTATATTTCTTTCTTTCTTTTCCCCCTACCCCCCAGACAAGGCTTCTCTATGTAGCTCTGGCTGTCCTGATACTTGCTCTGTAGACCAGACTGTCCTCAAACTCAGAGATCTGCCTTCCTCTGCCTCCCAAGCACTGGGATTAAAGGTGTGTGCCACCATGCCTCATTAAACTTATTTTTATGACTTAAAAAATGTTTTGGGGGATGGAGAAATGTCTCAACAGTTAAGAACGCTTGCTCTTGCAGAGGACCTGGGTTAAGTTCCCAGCACCACATGGCAGCTCACAACACTTTCACTCCAGTTTCAGGGGATCTGGCTCCTTCCTCTGGCCTCTGAGGGCACTTACATACATGCAGGCAAAGTGTTCAGCCACACAAGTAAAAAAGTTAATTTTTAACTGTTTACATTCATTTCCTTATGTGCGTGTGTAGGAGCTCATGACACACCATCCACAAGGTCAGAGGACAACTTGCAGGAGCTGCTTGTCTCCCTCCAGGGATCAACCCTGGGTTGCCAGGCTTGGCAACCAGCACCATTACCCACTGAGCCATACTGTCAGTCCAGAGAAAAATATTTTTGTGAGAGTTAAGCAAAATAATGTTCGGAAAGCATCTAACGCAATTTCTGACATTAAAGATCCACCATCACCAACATGGTCATCAGGTATTGTGCAATTCCGAACACTAACCTAACTGCATCAAAAGGCAGGGCTTCCAGGAAGATGCAGGCTCCGGCTCTCCAACGCCCTTGGAAGCCAAGGATTAAGGTGCACAACGACATGAAAAGCGGGAGTGCCTGTGATTCCTGGCACTGCCACGGAAACTCTGGTGCCAGTGCAGAAGAATACAACCTAGGCCTGACAAATGTCATGGCTCCTCCCAGTGAGAGCAAACCCATTAAAGGCCCCCAGGGGGGTCTTTGTCCCCTGGGCCTCCAAGAGTGCTTGGAGCTCTCCGTTCAGCTTCAAGCCCAGTTTCCAGGCTGGTGCTAAGCAGCAGCTCACTGTCACCATGGCAATAGATGAGGCCAAGCTCTGGCAGAGAGAGTTTTCAGTAGCAGGGGCTTGGCTAACTCGGTAGGGAGGCTATGGCAGCTAGACCCCACACCTTGCAAGACAAGAAGGGCTGGGAGGGGTCTTCAGTAAAAGAGAAGAGCTGGGCCCCAGGACAGGTAACAGGGTCAAACTAGTCCTCTGTAAAAAAGATATTTTTCCATTAGGGACTTATTTCTGAAAATATTTTACTACTTAGCAGTATATAGTTAATGGCAAATCCCAGATTAAAATAAGTCTCTGGAATGCTTCTTTGGGAATCCATAGCTCCTCCTTGCTACTTCATCTGGTCCTTCCTCCGACTTATGCCCAGCATTATCAGCTAGCCTCCGTATTTGTCTTCATGCATCCATGGCCCTGTCTACACACACACACACACACACACACACACACACGTGCAGAAACCTGACCCCTCCTTTGACCTGGCCCCATATATTGCCAGCCTTCATATTCTGCCCAGAGCTGAATGTAGGCTGGAGATGTCCGCTGCCTCTTCCCATAACATGTTCAGGTTTAGAAAACATGAGGGAGGCAGAGACATCCCAGGCCAGTCACCTCCAGTTAAGGAAGGGCCCTGTGACAGTATGAGCAAATGTCCCTGTCCCTTAAAACTTACCACACCTGGAACCTACTCCACAAATCCATCCTCTGCCCTCCATATACACATCTGTCTTAGGGTTTCTATTGCTGGGACAAAAGACCATGACCAAAGAGCAAGTTGGGGAGGAAAGGGTTCATTTGGCGTACACTTCAGGATCCTGGAGGCAGGAGCTGATGCAGAGGCCATGGAGGGGAGTTTCTTACCGGCTTGCCTCCCCTGGCTTGCTCAGCCCATCTTCTTACAGAACCGAGGACCACACGCCCAGGGATGTCACCACCCACCATGGTCTGGGTCCTCCCTCAATGATGACTGATTGAGACAATGCCTTGCAGCTGGATCTCATGGAGGCATTTCCTCAGCCGAGGCTCCTTCTTTTCTAATGACTCTAGCTTGTGCCAAGTTGATACACAAAATCAGCCAGTACAACAACATGCGATTCCCTTGTCACTATACATAACTGAGGTTCTGGATATCATTTTAATACGGACTTAACTAAAAACCAGTATCTCTTATGTGTTTCTGTTGCTCCCAGTCTCCCCACATGCTAAACTTTTCTAGACTGGATGATTCTGTACAGGGATCAAATCAGCAAGCGTGGTAGTGCACAGCTGTAATCCCGTGCTCTGGAGGGAGACGAGGGAGAATCGGAAGTCCAAGGCCAGCCTTGGCTATGTTGTAAATTGGAAGCCAGAATGGGCTACATTAGACCTTATTTCAACACCAGAGAGGGGAAAAGAGGAGCAGAAGAAAGGGAGGGAGAGAGGCAACATATCATAGGGCAACTTAATTCCCTCCATGGGCCTGTACTTACAACAGCTGCTCTGTCTACTGGGGTAAGTAGACTAATTTCCCCCAAAGATAATAATGTCCTAATTCTATGAACCTATCAATATATTATCTTACGAGGTCAAAG